GAACAAAAGTAATGAGTCTCAGACGATGTGAATGCTCATTTATGTCCTGTCCACTGCACTAACATTCTATTAGAGAAATAATAAAACCCCCCATCTGAGTTTAGTCTATGCTGCATGCTGCAGTGGTGAACATGAAAAAATAAACCACCCAAAAGTCAAACACTGGATGCTGCAGACCCATCATAAGGAAAGAATTCCTTTTTATATACGCTGTCTGGTGATGATTACCAGCCCTCCTGGATACTTGATTTGGACAACTCCCATGTGTGCATGTAACTTAGACATATGTAGCTGTCTAGGAAAGCTTGTAAGAGGAAAAAGAGCTCTTATCACAAATAACTCTTCTATCTACTCATACAATATTATATATAAAGTCATAAGTCTTTGTCTTGAAATAATAGAATTTTCTCCCTGCTGTCATTACTCTATTTGGAAGCCTTTTTCCTGAACTTGTTGTAAATATGCATTTATAGCTGACATTATTGTTTAATCTTGGGCTCATATTGCCCTACTTAGCTCTCTCTAATAATTTTAATCATTTTAGCAGATATTCAAATTAAAGTAAACTTCACTGAAGCTAGTTGTCCAGAACCATACACAATATTTCTGATTAGGCCTTTTGCTTCCAAATGTCTTTCTCCATGCATTTGTGTACTCATTAGCCCATTCATAACTTCAGTAATCACTATTTATAATCATCTTCCAGTGGCATGGATCTGTTTTTCCTACTATTAATTTATATTTAATTCTATCAGTTAAATCATAAGCAGTTTAATGCTTTTATAAGAGGTTATGCTCTTTGTAAAAATAATAATCCTGTACAACTTCATGTTGTCTGCTGATTTCACCTGTACTTTTTTGAAGATCTTTTAGTAAATTTCTACACAGGACTGATAAACACTCAGTAAACTATCCTCATTCCTTGTCTACCTTATCAGCATAAGTTGTTGTTGATTTGTTGATTCCTCTAACTGCTTTAGAAACACACATCTTTAGCTCCTTTAGAAATTGAATATTAGCATCTGGCTTCTCCACCTTCAGAAAACTTTCTTTGCAGGGAGAATGAATCAAGTACCTTATTTAAATATCTGATAAATAATATTCTCCTGTCTAATAAAGCTAAAGAGATTACTTTTGAAAAGAGATATTGGATTGGTTTGAGATGCTCTACCCTTGATAAAGACACATTATAACTTATACTGCCTTTTATTTGTGTCTCTGTCTCTAATTCTTCCTTCAAATGGTATTCTGGGTACTTTTTTGTAAATCAGTTTATTAAGTCTAGTGGTTCCAGAAGTTGTCTTTGTTCATGTTCTTTTGAATTTAGTTCTACCTTTACTGTTCTCCAGTCATAAGATACTGCTCCCAAAAATTCTAGCAATTGGAGTGTCAATTTCATGTGACAATTTCATATTTCTATATTCCACCGTGGCCCATCCAGCCTGCCTTATTTTTGCTTTATGAGGTATTAAGAATGTTAACATTTATTTCTCCCTCAGGTGCCATAATTTCTTAGGCACTACCTTCCTTTTTTCTCCTTTCTCCACTAATGTCCTCATTATTAACTTCATAGAAGATGGAGGCAAAATATGCATTTAATATGTAGATCAGAACTGTAATCTGATCAGAGTAACGTTAATCTCCTTAAAAAAACTGTTTAACAATAAATTCTATATTTGCACACTGTAACTTTTTTTCCCATGCTCCTTTATTTGTTGCAAAGACTTTGTGCTGATTGTTTTAATGGTAAATGAAGTCTCACACACAAAAAAATTAGCTGTTTTCCTCTTTTCTATATCCTGTAACTTCTGAGAAACAGTGTTCTCTCTTTGTTCTTCGTAGATTTGCATGTCTACAAAAGCAGCCAATTCACTGAAGTAAACCTCATAAGCTTTTTCTATTAGCTTCTTTTGTTTTTTCTTCCTTGCAATTTAAATCCTAAATAGTGCCTGCTGTTTGATTTAAAGTAATTCCTTACTTTCTATGTTTTAAAAGCTTTGCATTCCGAATTCACTGTGTATGCTTTCATTAGTTCCTTTCTAAAATCTCAAACATTAGTCATAGGCAGGCCTGGTGTGTGTCCTGCAGTTTAATAGAGACTGATTTAGTTTCTGATCACCACAGCCAAGATTATTTTCTATGAAAAGCTGTTCTGTAAGACCTTGATTCTTGCTAAACCCGTGTCCAAAGCAGCATCAATTGACATTGGTTCATTGGGTATTTATTAAGGAAATCTGTCTTACAGCAGGTTCAAGACTACCTAAGCCTTCAGTTCCTAATGATGGCATTTATATTGCATCCAAGTTGGGGTGATTAGTTTCCCAAGCTCTCACAATCAGTACTCTTTATTTCTTAATCTTATAGGGATTTCTCTTCATATTCCATCCCAAGCTTAATATTTCTGTGACAGCACTCCAAAGCTTTCTCTTTTGGTGCTTTTCAAATTTTATCCTAAAGAGATGGATTTTTTTTCACTGCATGATTAGTTTTCAACACATGGTCCACAGGACCAGGGAATTCCAACATCCATGTCTTTAGGATGAGTAGAGGGTAATTAGAAAGTCAAATTTAGTGTCAATAGGCTTAAATACCTAAATTCTCCCTTGACAGCTTCATGCTGTTCTCATCCATTTCTATAACAATGCAGAGCTGCCCAATCCACTCCAGTCTTATTTCTGTCCTTGGATAATTGAAAGGTTTAGCTCTTTTACTCAAATCACAAGTAATTTTTCTGCCTGTTTCCATTTCTGCAATATCCAGTTACATTTTGTGCTTGATGTTAGGCTTGCAAGAGCATGTTGAATGTGTTTTGCTAAAATATGTTTTAAATTAACATGCTTTTTTAATAAAGTAATTCAATGGAGAATGAACATTTGGTTCTTCTTTTGAAACCAAATCAGGAAATATTTGGTTTTTTTGTAAGTTTTCAGCAATTTGTTCAATCTTTCAAAATACTGATTAAAACCAACATAATATGTAATTGTTATTATCGTTATCTAAAACTTGAGTGTTTTCAATATTTTTCCCCTCATAAGCATAAAATATTCTATTTAAAATGAAAGTGGTTCTAATTCAAATATTTTTGTGTTTAACACTACATTTCTGAAGTAGTTCCTGACCAAGCCCTCCATCAGAAGTTTGTGCTTTTCTTCATTACCTGAACACTAACTAGTAAACAGACATTAAATGCTTCAGACATTAATGTAAGTCCTTGTTGATGGGAAGAAATTAAACAAAAATACAAAAGGCTGCAAAGCATCAAAGTTTTCTCTGTGACAGCTGTGCTTTTAAGTTTTAGCAAACAATAGCAGAGCTAAATGAGGTTAGAAAATTGTCATAATTAAGAGAAAAAAAGCCCCAAACAATCCTTCCAGCAGCTAGAACTAATTAGTGAAGACATTTTAAAATCCTGTTATTATAGAGATTGATTTAGAATAAATATCACTTCCTTTCCCCACAAGAAGATAGAAAATTTCACTTGTTGTTCTTTATTAGGATTATCAGGAGTGTATTACTGCAAAGCCATCAGGCAGGAGTGCAATAACCCACAGTACACTGGTCAGCAATTACTGCCAGCATCCAAGTATGAAAAGCTGAGTAGAGAGAGCTGCCTGTTTCACTGGATATTTTCTTCCATATGATTTGCTACCCTGTGTGCACCTTGTTCTCAGAATTTCCCATGGTGTTGCAAAGGTACCCTGTGACTTTCACAAGGACAAAAAAATAGTTTCACCCCCAAGTAAACCTGTAAATGGAACTGGGTGGAAAAGAAAGTTTTCTACTCCCTGATGCAAGTAGATTCCTAGACATGAAATAATCAACAGGATACTCAGGAATTAGAAGATTTCTAAAAGTCAGTATTTATCAAAATATTAAAATTGTCAGTATTTACGAATAGTCCTATTGGGCACCTGGCTTCACTAGTGTTATTTTAATGATAGTATGAAATGCACTACTCTTTTAAAACGGTGAATTGACTACTTATGATCAGTGTTTGCTTTCTCTTGTAGGATCTAGGTGTTTCACTTTCAAGATTTAACTGATGATAACTTTCTATATTTGTTCTTTTTCTGTCTCAAAACATAAGTGACTTAAGTGTATTTTGCAAAAAGATTTGCTCAGAAAATGGAAGATTAATGGCCATGAACCCAAGTGACTTATTCCATCTTTTTTCCTTACAGGTTTTAATCTTCATATTATGTATAACTTGAACATGAACTTTAGGTACCAGATGTATTAATGCACAGGGCTGGTACTTTGGCATTATGAGTTCTTTCTAATCTAAAGAGACAAAGCTTGAAAGAGAGATGTTTATTTAGGTGTTTGCGAAATTGAAAATAATATTCTCATTTGCAGGTGGGAAAATTATATCTAAAAATGTATAAATTTGCAAACATTACATTTGAGTCCTACTTAAAAATACGATGCCCTATTCTGCTTTCATGGATAAGATAGTATCTCTGTATTTGATTAACAGTCTTGGGGTGCTATTTTTATAAGATCTAGTATAACAGCTGTAAAAAGTATATTTTGTATAAAATAGTTTTATGCCTTTTTATCAGAATGTGATTGTCTGTTAAGAGGACCAGCTTCAAAATATTCTATAAAACTAAAGTGAATGGCTGACTCCAAAGTAAAATGTGACATGCTGGATGAAATGCTCAGAAATGCAATATGATTTTTCCCATTGAAAATAATATTAACTATTGACTATTGCTGTATTAGTTATTAATGATAGCTACTAGCTACAAGATGTTAATATGAGAGATTTAGACTGGAGTTGCTTACCTTTTCTAGAGGATCTCATCTTATCTGTTGCAATTGGACATTTGAATTGCTCTGCAATTCAAAAAAAAAAAAAAGGTAGCCAAAGGCTGAAGACTGAGCTGGTTCACTACAGAAATAATTGTTAAGAAAATAGTTCTGGATTTTGAGGGGAAAGTATCACATCTGGACATTATGGCAGATGAAATAATTTAACATGTCTGTCTGACTTGCAGAAAACTTGGAGTTCATTGATACCCATTGGCTGAATAAAGAGGAGCTGTAGACCTGTCCCAGTGTTGTCCAGGATTAGAGGTAATTCTCTTCCCAATAGCAGTATAGTGCTGTGTTTTGGAATTAAGATGAGAATGATGTTGATAGCACACTGATGTTTTAGTTGTTGCTAAGCCATGTTTACACAGAGTAAAGAGCTTAGCTTCTCTTCTCACCCCACCAGGAGGAGAATATGCAGCTGGGACTGCTGATGCACATTGGCCAAAGGGATATTCCATACCATATAATGGCACTCCCAGTGTATAAACTGGGACAAAAGCTGGTCAGGGGCAACTGTTTGGGTATGGCTGGGCATCATTCAGCAGGTGGTGAATCGCTTGCTTTATATGTTCTAATCCTATTATTAGTATTATTGGTATTGCTATTATTAGTTCCTCTTTCTTTTCTTCCTGTTACAGTGTCTCTTTGTCTCAACTCACAAATTTGACATTTCCTCCCCCAGTTCTGTCTCCCATCCCTGTGGGATGGTGTAGAGGAATTGAGTAGGGAGCCGCTGTGCGATATTTTGCTGCCTGCTATGTTAAACTGTGTCAAGACCTCATGATAATAAGGTCATGTAGGTGTTTGATTTTTAGTTTTATTTAATTTTTATATCCAAGATTATGTTCTGATATGCATGCACATGGCTGGAGCAACTGTATCTGCGTGAGAGCAACATTCTTGTAAAGGCACATCATCTAAAGAGAATATGTTTTAAGGACCAGGATTCAGATAAGATTCAGTTCAAGTGTCAGAAGTAGTCAGAATCTACTCTAAATGCTAGTAACTATCTTCATACAGTGTTAGAAGGAGTACTGCATATAATATGTGGGATTTTATAGGTCCTGGTATGAGTTTGAAATATGCTAATGAGGGTTTGTGTGTCTTAGCACCATAGAATCATTTAGATTGAAAAAGACCTTAAAGCTCCCCTGAATTTTTTTTTGGGAGGAGAGAATAAGGTTTTCATAGCATTTGCATATATTCTGAATTTTCTTTTAGGGCCTGTTATCTCTCTCTAGATATCCCATGATAAAACCTTTATGCCCATGAGTGTTAAAAGAGATTAAATCACTTCAGTACTCTTATGTGCAGAACGTGTCTTTCAGAGTCAATTATAATTAAGGCTGGGGTAAATAGTGTGAAGTGTTTTGAACTGTTAAATGAATTTGTTTCAAACAAGCTTTCTCCTTCCTTTCACCTCTCCTTGCTGTCCAGATAGTCTGTCAATCCTAAACGTTCACAGAATGCAAACCCCAAGGTTTCATGCACTGTGGGAAACAGCTGCATTTTCTTTTGAGTTGGACAACACTTGTTGGATATGCCTGTAAGTGCATCCATTTGGGAGTGTATGCAAATATCCTGTAACATGGCTGACCAGCTGCAGATACACACTGCTTGGGCTTTGACTATTTCAGTTAAAAAACAAGATCAATATTTGAATCAAATCTGAGCATTAAATTCACACAAATGGTAGCCTCCTGGCAGCTTGTCCTGAGCACCAACTTTGTCAGGATCATTGACAAGACTTCTGTAAGAATTACTCAGCAAGCATTTTGCAAAGTACAGAACAATCCAAAACTTTCTTGTACTTGACTACTAGAAGGTAGCCCAACTTTCTGACCTAGTATGATACTGCTCCAGAGGTAGTATGATGCAGATGGAGGCAGATCTCAGACATTCATAGCTCTGAAGTTATTGTATGCCCATATTGCAACACTTGTGTATTTTGGAGGCTACTAATCAACTCCAAAGAAGGATTTGTGAAATCTTTGAAGCAGAATTTTTGTAATTCTCTATTGGATCTTATTGGAGTATTTGACAGTATCAAAATAATTTTTGCAATGCCAAGAACTACTTGGTTTTAGCTTCAGCTGGAGTCTCTCCAGGATGTCTACTACCTCTGTGGCAACTGGGAATATGCTTGGAAAATATTCAGTGAACTGCAGATTGTTTTATTTTCCTGCCAAAAAAATCAAGATCTGCTGAACCTCTGACAGCTGTACATTGTCGCTAAGAAAATACTCCAAAGAAAAAACAAATGTCCATTAAACTTGATAGCATATTAGTGTCTAATGATCAGTTATATTTTATAAATTAGTTTTTATCACCTACATATTGCTGTCACAGCTACCCTGAGCAATGACCAGGACTTAATTTCTCCTTACAAATCACTCCATATCTTGTCTTTTACTTTTAGTCCAAAATTACCATTCAATGTAATAGGAATCTAAGGGGAATCTGTTCAAATAAGACACAGTAGGAGAGTTATTTTGAAAATATTAGTGGTCCAGAAATAACTAGGGAAACAGTTGATAGCAAATGGCTTATTACTACAATGAGAAGGACCTTGCAATGATTAGCATTTGTATCTCAGTGCCATTATTAACTTTCACACATTCATATGGTGTCTGAGAGCAAATAATTTCATTAACATTTGTAATTACCATTACTAAATACGATTCTTTTCCATGCGGTTTATTGGGAAATTTTCTTTTGATGTAATAGCATCATGACATGTGAGTTAGCTTGATTTTTCTGCAGCTAAGGAAATGGAACCAATTTCATGATCCATACTGATAATAAACTGAATTCATATCATCTTCCTGCTTCTCTGAAGTGCACTGAATTGCAGATAAAGTGTTATTCTGAAATACTGGAATGTCTTTGGAGCGAATGCCAGAAATATAACCAAAACTTTTCATGCCAAGTAAATTTATTTGGTTGCCAGATATGCAAGGATGAACTAAGTGGATACTGTACTGACATGCCTGCTAGATTAGGAAAAATCTGTTGTAGAAAAAGGGTCATGTGAACATGAGATTTAGGAAACATTAATCTTTGTTGTATTTGGATTTTTATTTTTTCACTCTATTTCTTTGCTTCTGCCTTTTCACTGCTTCTTGGCTCCACAGTTCTGCCCTTCCCTCATGCCAGCTTTGGTCCCTGTCAGACATTTATGGAAGCCAGCTGAGTTCCATAAGCCAAGATAAAACACTCAAATACTCCCTACCCCTTGGTTTGTGTGTATGGCTTTTATTTTTTTATTTTTTTTAGCTAATTTTCTGCTAGATTAATGCTCCAGTTTCTCTTGCATGGAAGGCCCAACAAATGCTGTGGCTGGTTCAGCTGATACAAGTACACAGCAGCTGGGATGATGCAGAGGGAGGAAGCAGTGGTATCACTGCCAGCTAGAGAATGTGAGCTTCTAGATATTATTATCATCCAATTCTATGTGGGTTTTTAATTATTTTTTTTTTAAAGAAGAGTGAGACAGTTTTCTTAAGTGCTTCCAGTAACCCAGGAAGAACTAAACACTTCTAATAGTTGGCAGGAGCTCCAGTCCCCCAAAGTCAGGGGATAAGTATAAACACTTTACAAGAGGATTTTTTGCTACCTCTCACTTCTCAGCCCTAGAGTCACTGAACAACTGCCATCTCAGGGTACCACAAAAGGAATTTAAGAAAAGCTCTGACAAATAGAATAACTTTTCTGCTGACTGTCTTAAGTATCTGAGCCTACAGCTGAGGCAATTTCAGTTGAGTTCAGTCCTTAAAATAATGTATAATATGGGGTGAACAATTAAATCTGTTAAATCTGTTGTAGACAGTAAACCCCAGGAGGGAAAGGCAATGATAATGCCAAGTATTAAGATGTATTGATAAACAGATAATCCTGCCATTTAAATTCCTCTTTATGAACCAATACTGTCTATGTCAGAGAATAGAATGACCTCATCCTTCTGACCCAAACAGTCAATTTTAGAAAAGCTTCCTCTCAAGAGGGGAATAAACTGATAATGGAATCATATTTCTTTCACGTAATCCTGATCATTTCAAAGAAGGACTTTTCTATTGTCCTGAACACAGTGTGAAACAAACAATGAAAAATAATTTCCTTTTTCACAGTTCAGGGCATCTTTCTGGTTGGTACTCTATCCAATCTTTTTCTGGCTGTTTGGTATTTGAATGCAATGGTGCTTTTTTTGTTGCTGTTCTTTTTTCTTTCTTTTTGTAGCTATCTGGTCTGTATTCCGTGTCTCATGTTTTAAGATGTGCCAGAGATCACACCTTTGTTTTCTAGACTATTCAGCCAGAAAGTTATGGTCAGCTGAATCATCTTCTGCAGACAGAAAGTCAAAAGCCTTTCACATCAGTAGCTGAATAACCAGGCAGTAAATGCAGTCACAGTTCACTTTTGGGGAGGCTAAGGTAGTGAACAAAATGCTGGTCTCAGTCTTGCTGGTTGCTTAGGCACATATGATTGAAAGTACCTGGTAAAGAAAGCAGAGACCTTAAGTCCTCAGCAGCCTGCATGAAGATAGAGAATAAATGCAGCTACAGTTCTCCTGACAGCAGTGAGGTAGCTGTCATTTCAAGCTCCCTGTGCAAAAAGAACTGTTTCTTGTGCATTTTCAGTGCTGTGAAAAGCATAGATTTAATGAGAAGGATATTTTGATGAGACTGTCATGCAGATTGGGTGCTCCTAACCAGCAATAAAGTCAGATGGTATTCAAAGCATACTGTCATGAAGAGGCTGCAGTTCAGTCACAAACATTCCTGTCTTGCACTTAGCCTTCTCATGGAGGATATTTTCCTCCCCATTCCATCTGCTTTGTATTTCTTCTTCTCTCTAGGACAGAATTTGAACTGACATACCTCCATATCTTCCATTTTACATGGTCATTAAAAAGGGAAAAACTCAGTAGCTAATAAATAAGCTTAATGTCACATGCAGAATGGAGGCAGTTCCTATATAATGCCTGCACTGAGCTTCCTGGTACTTGTCCCAGTATAATCATTGTGTCCTGAATAAATCAACATGGTCTCTGAAATTTACTGCAGGCTCTTGTCTATTTGAAACAGGGATTAAACACTTGAAGATAATTTCTGGTGATTTTTTTTTTTTTTTAAAAAAGGAAAAAAAAAACCACCCTGGGAGTTCCAAAAAAAAAAAAAAAAAAAAAAACCCAAAAAAAAGGGAAAAAAAGAAAATGGAGTAGCTGAGACACTTCAGAATATTCTTCCTAGTAATTCTACTCTTGGTTGGTTTCCAGTATCCCTTGAATAACCTCTGATAGTTATAGGGAAAATCCTGCATGAACTGGCTGGAAAATGCATAATGACAATGGTCTGGGAATATAGTCCTTTATTTTTGGTTTCTAGGAACTTTGATACTCATCCTAGGCAGACTCCTTGAAGAACTGAACTGCTGAGCTCTTTGAAAAATTCTGCTGGATGCATGTAAGTGACAGCTTATTTCATGGCTGTAGAACCTGGCTAGATGTAGGTGAACTCAAGTCTTTCAAAAGATAGACAGGGTGAGTGATGGCTCCCTAGAAAATTTAAAGCTTTGAGTTTAAATTTGAAGTTTAGTAAGTACTAGAATTTTTTAGTGTGATAACTTAGCTAATAGTGTTTCAGGACCTTTCTGCCACCATCCCTGCAAACTCTCTCAAGTTTCTTTACAAATTGTTTACTTAATGGTATCAAAATGTCACATATTTAATTTAGGAGAAAAGCACATGAAGTAAATTAGGTTAAAAAATCATACTCTGCATTTTGTAATGTTGTTTTATTAGTAATATTAAATGTTAAAATATTAAAACCAAAAATTCCCCAAATCCATTAGTCTGTGCAGACACTCACCATGGAAAACTTCAGCTAAAATGATAATGTTAATGAAAGTCATAGAAATAAATGAAAACAGAGAATTTTACTTATACATGTCTAGACTTTCTTTGTGTGTTTAAATTATTTTCTCAAGCAACATTTCAACACTCAAGAAGCCAGAAAGCATTTTAATGTTTAATGTTTTTTTAGTGAAAAAAAAAAATTCTGAAGCCTTCTTTGAAGTATTTCTTGTCCTTTTATTAAAGACTAATATATGGGATCTGTACTACTGGTTTCAGACTGTCCTTGATGTGATTTTGCATCTTTGATGCTCATTAATCGAGATTTTACCTGTATGTTATAAAATGTACATGCTTACATTTACCTCAGTTTTTTGCTTCTGAAGGAGATCCCTGTAGTGCAGGATGGCACAGTCTTTGGGTTTAGTTACAACATTGGGGGTAATAGAAGGACCTGGATATTTGACTGAGAGTTAACTAATACCCATTCTCCATTAGAGCATTGATTTACTTCATTGCCTGCTTAACAAACTTGAGATTAATCTGCTTTATCCTTGCAACTCAATAGAGAATATCTGCATTTTGAGCAGAAGATTCAGAAAAGAATTTATGACAGTAAGAAAGGGAATGTCTGGATTGCCCCTAGGTGGCAGCGAGGCATTATTTCTCGACATTTGCTGAACTACCTGTTCTGCTGTCTCTGCAAAGAAAAGCTTGCTTAGATACAGCCAGCTCTGTCCGGTTTTCTGACCTTTTGGGATAGGTTTTGAAATCCCAAACTCTGTATTGCAGTAAAACACACATGGTTGCAAATCAGTTAGTCCTGGAAAGGCAGACAAAAGTATTGTGTGATATGTGCTGTGAATCAGCATGTCTCTGATCCATGCTTTCATGTGACACTGATCAGTGGTAACATTGGGGATCCTCAGCAGACCTTCTTTTTTTTCAGAAGCCAATGGTTTAAAATGATTTATTTGCATTTTTGTATCCTTTGTGTGCTGTTGTGGCTGCCCTCTAGCACAAATTACTTTCCAGGTGTTTGTACTGGACCTAGTCTAGTGAAGGACATCCCTGCCCAAGGTAGGGGGGCTGGAACTAGATGATCTTTAAGGCTTCTTCTAACAAAAACTATGGTATGGTTTTATAATTCTACATTTGGGCTCAGTGTGGTGATGGCATATGTGATATTCTGTTCAGATAAATGACTTTTATCACTTGAGCATGAGCAATGAACCACACTAAATGCAGCTAATAAAGGGATCAGAGACCTTTTAGTAAGTCCTTTCTGCCTGACAGTATTAATTGTAATGCTGAGGACATGGAAATTGGCTCTGCAATTGTAATTCAGGCTCTGATTTAACAACGTGTGTAAATCAATTATTTTAGCATGTGCTTGTGTTGACTGCATTTTAGCAGTGTAGCACTAACTTTCTCAGATCTCATCTGGGGAATGCTTTCATTTTTATGAATGTCCTTATTTTCAACCTAGGAAAGTGCTTTTTCTGCATACACAAAGAAAAGCATGTCCTTAAATGCTTTACAAATTGGGATATACAATGCCAGCTTTGATACTGTGGGTTAAGAGAAAGAAGCACAATTTTGAACTGGATGATCAATGATCAACAGAAATTTTTTAAAAACTGTTTTGATTGTGATCAAAATACATGTCCTTTTGAATATCATTAGTGTCATATTCTGGAGAAAAATCCAAGTGAGTTTTTTATTTAAACAAGCACCACTTTTTAACTCCATGTTTTGCATGGGTAGGAGTAACCTCTAATATCTCTCTCTCTAAAGCATGGCATTAGAAGCATGGTGGACCTCAATTGCTTCAGACCTGAACGTGTCAGTAGAAATGTTTTGTGGATTGTGCCAACCAAAGGAAAATGTGAATGAAAAATCAATTTTAAAGTGACTGAGAAGAAAATGATGTATTTGGGAGAGAATTCTAATGCAATATACTTTGGCATTAAAATTTAAAATTACTCTGAATACCTTTCTTTTAGAAAACACAGTGGCAATCAAAGACTTAGCAGCTTGATGGATGTGAATGAATGAGTCTCATAAATTGAGATTGCAACTGTGATCGCTGCATTAATAAGAATGAGGTTATCATAGTGTTAAATCATCCAGCTATACATTTAAAAGTATGTACTGGGAATGAATGCATATTTGCAATATGTCTTTGTCTTCTGCTGTCAGGCCCAGCACTATCACGCTACATGACAAATCTGAACATTGGTAGACTCTGACTGTCTCATACAAGGAGCAGCTTTCAGAGGCAGGTTTATTAAGTGGGTGCATAATTGCAATAATTATTGCTTCTGATACTAATGTCAAAAGAATAGGATTTGGCACAGAATTTTCATACTAAACATAGTGTAGAAAATAATACTTGTTTCAGAACAGTTCAGGTTGTAAACTCGGTTCCACTATAAATGTACTGTGTTTTGAAGATGTGCTACATTTTGCTTGGAAGGGCATCACACTGAGATAGGTATGATTTTGTCATGAAATTCCTAAGTTAAAGAAATTTGTGTATAACCTTATTGTTTTGATTAGTATTGGATTATTTTGCTTTCTTCTCAATGAGTAACACTTCTGCCTCAAGGTGTGAGGTATAATGCTTGCTTACTGTGTGGAGGATTTTCAGAGTTAGGACAGCAGAGGCTTTGTGAACTCACCAGGGAAGCTGTGTGCACACTCATCTCTGGTCATCCTAGAAGAAGCATGCCTGAAAATCTCCCTACACAGGGCTGAGTTACAGGCTGAAGACAAAGTTTCCTTATGGAAATACATCGAAAAAGAATGTAATGTCACCTTAAACTGTTCATTAGCTCACACTCATGGATGTTTTCTAAATGTGACTTCACGCTGTGCCTGTGCTCAACCTGTTCAGTACCGTGTGTGCTCATGAGTTTAAAACTTGTCAGTGCTGTCTGTCATCTTAGTAAATGGTAAAAAATTACTCTAGCAAGTGTTACTGGTTTTATTATAGGCTTCTTTAAGGATTGGTGATCTGATCTGAGAAAAGAAAAATCTCCTGTACATTTATATTGTATTGTGAGAAGGACTTAAATGAGAACCCTCTCAGAAATCTCTTTTCAGTCAGTGAGATTGTCAGCCAAATTGATGGAATGTTTGTCAATGCTGCTTTAATTAAAGATTGCACTTAGCTATTTTTGACCTTTCTCTGTACACACTTAAATGCACATTAGCAGATGTACAAGTAAAAAATTAAGATACTGGGATACCGGTAAAAAAGATTTTAATTACATATATTGTCTTCAAAATATGCTGCTTCAAGGATTTGGGTTAATTCTGATAACATTTGAGTATTTTTGGGATTTCAGAGTTCTTTTTTTACTTATGACCTGAAAAAAGAAAGCGAATGGGAGGAAAGAGAAATACTAGTTAAAACCAAAACAGCTCCAAATTTGAACTCTTATATTTGGAATACAGACCCTGGGACATAGTGCAATAATATATTAAATGCTTTTCCTTAGTCCCAGTGAAGGACAAAATGCATAATTTTAAACTTAAGCTGACATGTAATGCTGCTGTCTACATAAAACTAGATTGAGGATTTTTTAACATAAATTTGAATCTGCATATGGATGTTATTCCCTTCAATGTCAGTAACTAGATCCTTAATACTTCTGTCAAGAGGTATCTTTTTTTTTCTTTTTCTCTGAAAACTCAGCAAAACTGATGATGCTGGATGGTCAGTAACTTCCTGCTTTGATAAACTTTTAAGGATCATTCAAATGTTTTCGCTGGAGATCTGTGTTCCTGACCATTCCTCTCTTCATTACTCACTGCTACTTACTTATAAAGGTGTAGGTGCTTAAACAATATCAGCTGCTTTGTGCTTTATTTCTTTTTTGGGTACATCTCAGACTGACAGATGTTTTTTGTTTCATTTTATTCATTTATTTAGTTTTTTTTATTGAACATGTTGTTTTTATATAAAATAAAGGAGTTAATTCTGAATTAGATAAGTTTTAAACTCCCTGGGATTCTCCCCATCCTGGGAGGATAAGCAGTGTGGCATTATTTTTGTATTTTTACAGACAAAACAGATTCCCATTTTCTTTCTTGCTAGAAAAAGCATTCAACTTTCCTTGAAGGAGTTTATATTCTTCCAAGTTAATCCAAGTGGAGCAGATCTTATGAGATCAGGTGAAACTGGAAGATCTTGACGCGTATTTAACCTAAATCAGGATCTCAGGTATGGCCTTAAGTCCAGTGTGTAGTCTAAAATCAATGCATTTACAAGAACAGCCTTTCCATCTTTCTTCATATTTTCTATATTCTGAATAAACTGCTGGTGAAATAGCATAATTATATATGTAATGCTCCGCTTTACAGCCTATCACCATAGGGTGACAAGAAAAAAGATATTCCATAATGTGGGATAAAATATAATGGTAGCATTCCCAAGCTGGTTCACCTGTATTGTGTCTGTGTTATGTGAGCTTACTGGTGGCCGGGTGCCTACAGTGCACCAAGAAAACCAACAAATGTTCTGTTGCTGATTATTGCCTTACTGTATGTGTCCTGCTTTTTGTTACAGCAGAGACACAAATGGGTCCCTTCTGGGTTTGTGAAAGAGAACAGCTTTACAACACAAACCACTAGTAGCCAACAAAGAAGCAGCTCTGCAAAGATTGCCTCTAGTGAATGTTGCATTGTGATTCCACTCTTTGAATTGCTTAGTAATGTTCCTACAAAAGTATCTGTTAACTTCCTTGGTATCACCCTGAGCAGCTGGCTCTGCTACAGCTGGTTATTTGTAGGGAAATTCTCCAATGAATAAATTACCAAAAGCATTCTTTTCACAGAAAGGAAAACCCTTACATTCTTCAACTTGGATATTCTGTTCTGAACCTTGAAACTATCTTCTAAAATCAGAATGAGAGTCCAGGTAAGAGTCTGGAATGAGGGTCAGGTTCTTTCCTTCTGTACTTGCAAATAATCCAGCTGACAAGGTGAACGTGTTAAAAAACCCAAACAAAGCCCCAAAACCAAAAGACCACAGAAAAAGCTCTGGAATCCATCAATTTTGAATTGCTACTAAAAAATGGAATATTTTATGTCAGCGATTTTTTTTCTTCATTAGCTGTTCTGTGATAACTTGACACGTAGGATGTTGGCCTATAAACTCATGGTGATGTGGTTTATAAATTTGTCAAGCTTTATTTAAGCTGTGCCTTATTTCATACTTTAATGAACTATATTTGGAACTGTGTGTATTCATGCCTTTCAGGTATGTCTACTCTCATAGAGGCTGAAAAGCAGGATAAATTAGTCCTCACTAATCATCATGTCCTTACATAGTACTGACAAGCTAGACTGATCATTTGGAAATTAGTTTGGGCATTTCTATACTGAGGAAAATTGCCAAAGCTTACTGAGAAGGAATTAAAACCTGTCTTTCTCCCTTGCTCCTCTGCTGCTTCTTCACTGCTTCAGTAGCTCTGACAGTCTTACTGCATGGTTCCCCTCCTGCCTCCCCTCTGCCTTCATCTGTTTCAGTCTGTCTCAGTCTTGGATATCCTCTTATTCTCATTTTGCACTCTTTGTGATTTCTTTCAGTTTTTTTTTAATATACCTTGCTTAGTGAGTGAGATAACATGAACAAGCAACCCCCACCACTGAGTTGTCACACTGCATAATGGCAGGTGCATGCCTCAGGCCTGGAGAGAGCAGGTGTTTTCTTAAAATTGCTTTGGTGTTGGAGAAATGACAATGTAGGACAATATGCTAAGAAGTTTCTCAGCATAAAATGACTGCCTGTGATTGCTGTTTAGAAAAGTTCTAGGTGCAGGTTAAATTCTCTCCTTACCCCAATATGTAAAGATGATATATTTATATCAAGAGAAACTTAAGAATGCTTTAAATAGGCCAGAGGACTCTGACCTGACAGATGTTTATATTAATGCATTTGCAGTGTTGGGAATGAAATCAGATTGCCTAAAGGTTTTTCTGTTTGCTAAATCTGGTTAGAATTATGGTAACACAGGCTCTATGCAAGAAGTGCTGTGGTGATATAATATATATGTGAAATGATGTAGTGCTTATACAAATCACAAGGTGAAGGGATAGCTTATCTTCAGATTTTAGCACTTGCTACTGCAGTTTGAATTATATTTTTATATTTTACTTCCATTCTGAAAACTGTCTGCAGTCACATATATTTAATTTAGGAGAAAAGCACATAAAGTAAATTAGGTTAAAAAACCAAACTCTGCATTTTGTAATGTTGATTTAATAGTACGCAGCCCAAAAAGAATATAGTAATGATGGGGCATAAATGTTAGCATTATGTACAAATAAATGTCAGGCATCAGTTTCCTTATAAATTTTTCTCAAGAACTGAGTTAGGATTGATGTCCCTTGTGACAATAAGTACAGAACATCTGACAAATGCCTGGCAAACAAGAAGTTTATCAGAAAGCAGGTTATAGGAAATCATATAACATTCGACACTGATCTCTCTTGAGTAATCTTCCCTCATTTTCCTCTGCCAGCCTAGTGCAGATGAGATTGATTGTAATGATGGACATTTTAGGCCCCCTGGAGAGAGAGGTCTGGGAACTGGAGAGAACACACATCTGGGAAGTTTCTGAGGAGCCTGGGGAAAGCTCAATAAAGCAACAGGGAAAAAGAAAGACCAGATGGTGCCCTGACTGCCAGATTCTGAAATGGAAGATTTTCTGTTTAAATAAAAGTTACACTTTTGTATCCCGATAAGATCCATGAAGAAGGTAGAGGTTGCAGTTACTTGATACAAAGTAGATGGATGTCTTACATATTAGTTGTCCCTTTGTCCTTCATCTTAAGACCTTCAGTGTGGTGACATTCTTGAGATGATTGAGGTGTAAAACCATAAAGAAGTCATGTAGCCATTAAATGTGAGAAGTTGGTACACTATAATTTTCTGATTGAATTATGGTAATAAGTGTACAGGTGATGGTTTTGACAAGTCTGGTAAATAGAAAAGTATTAGAATATTTTTCATTTTCTCATGAACCGTGAAGGTACCTTTAAACTGTAGTTACAATTTTCTCTTGGAATTATTGTTTAGCTAGACTCAAAAATATATATTCTGTTTAAAGTTATGATATTAAGGAAATAATAAATTATGCTTTTAAATTACAGTAAATCAAGTTTAAAACCAATAATTTAATTTTCAGGTGCCTTTAAGAAGTCTGTGAAATGTGTTTTACCCTGCAATTTAATCTGTATTTTTAGGAAATTTTAGAGATAATCACGTAGTGATGCTTATTGCTCTATCCAATAAAGTTAACATATGGAAATGTGATTTTGTGAGGGGTGGCTATTTTTGTGATTGAGAAAGCTGAAATCTGATGATTTCATATTTACAGAATATATCCTCTTAGGTTTGTGGTCAGAACTGTTAGTGAAAATTGTAGTGTTTATGTTCTTTATGTGTAGTGGTTATATCTTCCACAGACTTCATCTTAGGAGCATGAGGGAAAAGCTGTCCTAGAAGGGAGAGAGAAGCTGGGACAAGGGTCCGCACCACAAGTGCAGTCAGTTTTTTTCAAATCAATATTTTTGGCAATTGAACACTGGGATCATGAGAGCAGCTTTGGGGGCTGCAGCCTCTCCCCTGCTCTGATGACTCAGTACAGTGTTTCTAATTCTTTCACAGAGCTATTAATAGACAAAAACAAACAAAAAAGTTCTAATGCTAGGTTTGTCCAAGTTCATACTCGCCATGTTTTCATAGACATGCCATCTCACAAGAAAGGAAAAGTTGAAGGGTGAGTGGGTGGTGATGTCGTGGCTATCCTGGTGGGTGGCTGGTGAAAAGCTTGAAAACACCTATTAAAATGTAGGCTTCTGAATACTGCTTACATCTGGGAAATTTTAAGATATATTCAAAGTTAGCTGAGTGTGAAATATGATTCTGAGGTGATTCAAATTTTGTGAACCACAGCAAAATTGGCCAATAAAAGGGTAATAATAGTAAGAAAGTAAGTTACAAAATGCTTGTTAAAAGCATAACTCAACCCAAAAAGTGGTTTTTACAAATCTGCAGTTGTCTTCTACATGGTTTTTAGCTGTAATATCTCAGAATAACTAACCCTAACCCTAATAACTAATACTAAGAGTATTTTTAATATAGTGAAAGAAATACATTATTTCATTATAACCTTGTGGTATTCTTCACATTGTTCCAATTTAATTTCTTACCATTACTAAAAGGAGTCTAAAATAAATTGAAATGGGGTTTGATAACTACCTGGATCTATCTGTGCATTGAACCAGGCATGTATCTCTCCAATTTTATTAATTTTTATGTGAAATAATCAGTGTGTATATATGTTATTTATAAGTGCTGTGCTTTGTTGTGTAGTGAGAAAATGGCATGCCAATATTCTTCCTTACTTAACTTCCAGTGCTGCAGATCTTCTAGGGAATATAGATAAATAAAAAATTCTTATAAAACCCTATAGATTCTGGTCATGGAGATTTCATTGGTAAATTTTAAATGTCTCTAATATACAGAGTGCAATACCCTGAAATGTCAGTTCTTACCTGCCTTTGGTTCCTGTGGGACATTTGAATTTCACAGAGTGGGTACGTTTTGTTTTTTCTTTTGCTCAGGCTAAACATTCAGGCAACCTGTTTTATGTAGTCCAACCATTGTTTGCATCAATGAAGTTGTGAAATTTAAATAACAAATACTATTAAAAAAATTACATGCTTTTAGAGTAATTTTGTTAGGTGCCATTACTTCTGTTGAATGCACCTAAATTGATAGCATTACTGGTAATTTTATTGTGGTTTAGAATTTGGCAAGCCTGTGAATGCTTCTGCCAGCTGGGCCTTCGGACCAGGCTGTTTAAAGAACAGTTACACACAGGGAAAAGCCACTCTTCTTTCTAAACATCTAGTTGTATTTTCTATGAATAGCAACCTTTTTGTTATAAGTAACAAGGATAAAAGAGGCTAATTCTTTCTAGTTTTCCCAGCCAATTTTCCAATGGATGGAACTTTCACACAGCCATAGAAAACTGAAAATTTTTATTTGATTGGAAAACCTGATAAAAAAACTGCAAAAAGATGGCAGAAATAAGTTGTGGGGGTTTGTTTGTTTTTTTCCTCTCTTTGTTTGTTTCGGGTGGGTTGCAGAGGGGCAAGACCTCAGACTCTCAATATTTCAAGTTGGCAGCATCCTGTTAAACTGTTTTGTGAGAGCTGGGAGTTTGCTGGCTGATGAATGCATGCTCTGTACTGTGTGATGCCATGCATATAAAATGGTTTATTGAGCAAAATAAACAATTCTCTGCAGTCTCTGTCAGACAACTCTACATTTCTCTGCAGTCCCATAACTGACAGCTATGACCAGCCAAGTAAACTCTACCTGTGCATTTGCAATACTTTCTCTCTGTTTCATATCATTTAACCCTAAATATCTCCTTCATAGTGCACACCTGTCACTTGTTTTGTTAGTTGAAAATTGTTGAGAATCCAAATGTGTTATGTTACACACAGAGTGTAAAAACTATTTTACATTAATATTTACCTGTGAAGCTTAGCCTGTCATAGACCCTCTGCTTATCTGTTGAATATCTTATGTGAAACAGTTGTTATTTCCTAATTAGTACGCATACAATTTTTCTAATCATTATTTTCAGTTAGCCTAGGGAGGACTGAGGTAGTGTGTGTTGTTTAGTTTTTGCCTTTAAAGGAACAAAATCCATGCAATTTATTTTCATTATGCAATTTTCATATTTTTCAAATGCACAAGTGGCACTTAAAGAAACACAGGGACCCTAACTTAAAAAAAGTGATATTCCTATTTTAGATTTTTTTTTGTCCTTGCTAAGTACATCCTTCTGTTCAGCCCTTAACACTGATTTCATGCTTTTATCTACTTGTGCCTAAATGCATAGGAAGAAAATAGCAGCTAGCAGACCTAGCAGAGCCACTGTGATTTCATCCAATATATCAAACCATCTTTTAAACTTTAAAATGGTCTTGTTTTTCTGGTACACAGTTATTAACAGGAAAAGATTCTGCAGTCTTCCAGCATCCTTCATTACTGCTAAGTATCCTGAAACTAAATGAGTAGAACCTGTACCTTGATGATAGCTCTGTGATTCTGTGCTCATTATTTTCCAAGTCTGCACAGAGTCAATACTCAGATGGAGATGAGAGGCTGATTAAAATCAAGGTAATGTTTTTAAGGTATCCAATATAAACAATAGTCTATTGACATTTACTTGATAATTTTGTGATAATGAAGTAAATTCAGAAGTTAAAAAGAGGCACACAAGGATGAGCATGTTTAAAGCTGGTGTGCCATTTCTGTAAGGGACCTTTCTGTGTGATTTCTGATCACCTTCACCACTCCTGAGAAGAGAAAACTCTTCAAAGAGCTTGTCTTATGGCTGGTAAACTTGAAAACACTTTGAATAAGAGAGAAGTGGTCTTGTTCCTGATCTGCATCAAGGTAATTCATAATCAGACAAGTTTCTTGCTTTTAAATGACCTCTTTGCAGATGCATGCTGAAAAGGGTAATTTCATTAAAGAGAAACCCAGAGTCCATGTGAAGAGAGGCGCTCTGCAGAGGTACAGACACTGTGATGTGCTTTCCTTTATTGCTTTTGAGGTAACTGTGTAATGGTATCCTGGATTAGTGATAATAGGAAAATGCCAGCAGGAGACTGGGTCACTGTTCTATTTTCCTTATTTGTTAATGGTATTAGGAAGGAAAGCTTCCACACACAAAATTTAACTAATGAGAGAAACACTTGGGTTTTTGAACGTTTGCAGTACACTGTTTTTCCACTAATGAGATATTAAAATTTTATCATTTCCATTTGACAACCTTCTCAGCACCCTCATGAATTAAAATTCAACTCTACTTCTCTAATAAAATTGTTAATTTATGACTATTGTGGGCTTCTATAGCATGGATCAATATTTATTTTCTGAATTGACATCCCACTAAACTTATTAAAATAAACAATCTGATCATAAAATATTTATGTTCCAATTGAGTAAGAAGATGCTTGAGTCTTACTGCTGTATTTTGAGGACTCCAATGAAGACTTAAACAGACTCAGGCCTGCCTAAGGCAATGAGTAACAGTTTTTATGGTTTTTGGTCAAAGGAGTCAGCGTGAGGAGTAAGAACATTTCAGTTATTCCTGTCACTAAGAGAACAATTAAGCCTTTGATCAACTTGCTGTTCTTGGCTCCAAAAAGCAAATTGTTTAGACCAGTTTTGGGTGCTTTTAATCATAGACTATGTGCAGAGAATCAGACTATCTCATGTCGCTGAAAGATCAGACACTGACTGCAATTCATTGCCTGCACAGTAGTGTCTAGCACCATGTGAGATGCCCCCAAGGTATCCAAGACCTCGGTGAAGAACTGGGAAATATGACACAAGATGGATGGGATACCTTTGGTCTTCTAGCATATCACCTGGAGGCTGAGCCAAAAAGCCCTAAAGGATCTGAAAAGGTACTAGATGCCTATGTATCAACTCCTTCAGACAGGGAGCTTAAGAATAAACAGTTCCCTGTTTTTATTGAGCTCCCAAGTGGATAGATAGTGCTGGTGTGTTTTGAAAATTGTTTTCATGCTACCTTGCCTATGCTTTTCTTTCCAAGGTTTCTTCTCATTATTGACCCTTTTTCAGTTTTGGGAATTTTAGAGTTTTGGGGTTTTTTTATTTGGATGTGGCATTTGCCTTGGCAGATGTAAAGATACATATTAGGTTGAGTCTAAACTATTTCTTTTCCTATATTTCCCATTTGTAAATGTTTTTGAAATTCAGGAAGATAATTTTGTTGGTTTATCTAGTCATTGGACATGAATGCTGTCCATAATTGTAAAAGGAGAGAGTGCCCTGTGATGTGTGTTTTCAATGTAGTAGGTTAAATAGGCAACTTTTATGAAGCAGCTGTTGGATGTAGTCACGACTGACTGCTCAGAAGCACAAGGTAAAAGCACTGATCAGAAGCAAAAGTGTGATTTACTGTGGGAGAAAGTCACTAAGAGAAATTCAAACATTAGCTGGTGCAGTGGAAAGTTGTCTGCTTTATATGGTAATGAATAGCTCTCTCCAAATAGGGTCCTTGCCTTCCCTTCAATGAGTGCAGATGGGAAGGGTTATTAGAGGAGATCTGATGTCTGTGTCTCCCTAAACCAATGTTATTTTCTGATCATGCCTTACTATCTTAGTACATTTTCCATAACAGAACATGTAATTTCACTACAAACAAGTTGCAATGAAAATGTTAGAAATAGAAATATTTTATTCCGTGCTCTTTTGCAGATTTTCTTTTCTGATGTAATTGAAAAGCACTCATGATACAGAATTTGGTCTGCATATCTGCAAGAAGAATTTTTAAATCAGCTGGCTTTCTGGGGTAAGGACCTCGCATGGGAATTCCATGTGAACTGTTCCTTATTAGAGCTTTCCTGATTTCTAGTGTGACTTTTACAACATTAGCTGGTGCCAGCACACAACTGGTGAATTGTTGATTCATGCAAGCTTTAAAGATTAATCAGTATGAGAATCACTACCCCAGAGACTTAGAAATGTGTGCAAACTCTGCTGTTCCAATGTCCAAAAATCTCAGACAGGTATTTTGAGTGAAATTCTTGTGTGGTTTTTTCCCACGGAATGGCTAAGTAGAAAGTGAGAAATTGTTGCAGAAAAAAGTGGTTTATTTTCAGTGACAGAGAAAGTGGGAAAGGAGGCCATAGGAACTGTTGTAATCTCTCCTGCATGATTATAAGTGAATACATCCATTTTTGTCTTTCTCTTTTTTTTTGGGTATTTTGTCCACCAGAAAAAAAAAAAAAGTGTTTTATCTGTTGTCCAGTAGTTTCCTGAATTGAGTCTCTCTCCTATGGACATCTTAACGCAGATTCAATTAAAAAAAACAAAGAATCCCTTTTGGGAATTACCTTGCTTTTCCCTGATTTTGATTTTTAAGTGAAGGTTATTACACTAATCAGTGGAAAATAAGGAAAATGCTAACATGGAATGTTGCTAATAATATGCAGGTGGAACAGATGTGTCTGAAATTTACTGTTGTCTGTTTTCTGCAGTTCAAGAGCTGTACATAACAAACATAATAACGATGCAGTTAAGTTGTGTTTGCTTTTTTCCTCATGAGAGGAAGGTGAGGATGCTGGAATATGTAAAGAGTTTCCAATTGCTTCACCTTCTCTCTCACACATTTCCCAGTACACTTGTGCACCTCCTGTTACCCTTTGCTTCCTATCATCTCTGTGGACTAGATCTGCTGAAAGGAATTGCTTAAGCAAAGAAATATTTATGATTGACAATTCATTTTTCTGCCCTTCTTCAAAACTGAAATCTTTGGTCTCAGTAGACAGGAATAAGAATACAGTTATCTCTTTAGAAGAGACTTGCAAAGTGTTGGACCTTTTTCAGCATAGACATGACTTCATTTTAGTCTCTGTGGAAAGAAAAGGACAGTAGCTATATCAACCCAAAGCAAGGAGCAGGAAGAAATAGAGATAGTACAAGACCTTTGGTTAAAGGTCTCTGGGGAGACTGATGGAGTAAAAAGCTCACTTGAACAAAATTATACTAAACTAAAAATGTAAGTTTTTCAAATTACTTTAATGAATATTAATGAAAAGGATCTTAAAAGGGAAAGAAATTTTATTGTATTGAAAGGGGTATTATTCAGTGTTAGAAACAAATCTTCTGCATGTTCCAATTCCAAAAGTTATATATATGTTCTTTTACTGGAGAGCTGCCCAAATTCTGGCTTCTTAAAAACCCAAGCATTTTCTGAAGTTTTAGGCTGCATCTACCTTTTGTGCACTGAAAAATAATGTACAAGAGGCTTGTAAGCACTATGATTGTTGGGATGATTGTATGAATTAAACTATTTGGTGGTTTTTGAACTAATTTTCTTTTCTTAGGTTGTTGGAAGCCTGCCTGTTTAAATGCCAATCTTGTGGTAGTGTGTTGTTAAGTTTCTTGTGTTATTCCCCCAATTTATGTATTGTTCTCCCCTATTATGTGTAAAATGG